ACCCGCCGCCGCGAGCGCGAAGCGTTGCCCACCCGCAGAAGCCCAAGGGCCAGCCGCGGGCTCCCAGCTGGGGCCCCGGGCCCGGCCCTGCCCATCTGGGGGGCCTGGAACAAGTCACGGCTCCAGTCTGAGTCTCCATTTTCCAAGACGAGAAATGGGGAGGATGCCTGCCTCCTTGATCCTGGGGGAGTAAAGCCACAGCCCAGGGCCCCCTTGAGGTCCCCTGGCTGCACCGCAGCTGGGGTCACCTGAGGCCTGGACTGCGAGGAGCCCAGCCAGGGCTCTGCCTACTCAGCACTGAAATGAAAGGACAAGTCCCTCCTCCACTTGGTGCCTGCTCTCCCATAAGGAGACTGTTAGTGAAGGAGCACCAAGCATTTTACATATATTATCACACCTTTGATCCTACAACTTCCAGGCGAGGTAGCTGCTCCCTTCTTCAAAACAAGACACAGAGCAGTTTCTAGGCATCTTCCCCCTCTACCGTGCAATGGTTCTTTGAGAAGCCTCCTTGGGGCACTAAGTGCTGGGTGAGAGCACGTGAGTGTAGAGAGAGGAAGGCAGAGCTGCAGGAGGCCATGTGATCCTCTGACCAGAGCACCTGGTGTTCCAGCTACAAATACTCTCTAACGGATGTGTAACAATAAGGACACCCAGTTAAAGTTGAATTTCAGATAAATAATACTTGTTTTGGATAAGTATGTCCCATGCAACATTGGGGACACATGCTGAAAAAAATTTATTTTATCTGAAGTTCAATTAACTGGGAATTCTGTATCTTTATTTACTAAATCTGCCAACCCTTGTTCGGAGGCAGTGCTGCGCTCAGCCAATTGTTAAATTTTTAGGAATTCTGTGGGCCAGTTGTTAAACCCCTGGGAGCTTGTAATCAACTATGGTGGGAGTATTTACACCATGGAAAGGCAATCGTCATAAATCATCTATCCATCTACTTATTTTACATTTTTGCTTTTTTCTTTTTAGCGCTGGTTTAGTACTCCACTGTCTAAAGGTTTCCTTGTCTTAAACATACTGAGTAAAGACTGAAACCATGTCCCTGAGTATTCAACAGTCACATGGGAGTCAGCATCTGCGGACAGCAGTCAGGCTTAGTGGAATAGAAAATGGAATAGTCCACTCCTATGGCCCTAGAGCTAGGTATGTTGGAAACTTAGAATTCTAAAACAGGGATGTTTAAATCTCAGAATTTCAGAAGATGGAAACTTTCAGAAGTGTTGAAAGCAGGGGCTGTTAGACACTACCCGTTCCTAACTCCTCTCTAGCAGACAGATGGGCTGAGGCCTCCAAGCCTAGCCAGACCTCTGGATGGCCCTGCTGGCTCAGGGCCCAGGCCTCTTGTGGACAACAATGAAGCAGACCCCTGTGTTGGCAGCACTGGTGATAGAGGTCAGCAGGAGCTGCTTGATGTCAAAGCCAGTGTCCAGGACAGCCTGCTCCACCTCTTTCCTCTCCAGGGCCATGCAGGAGAACTCACGCTTCCCCACCATGCAGGACAAGAGCCGAAGCATGACTGTGGTCAAGTGGCCGCTTGGCTTGAGCAGTGAGGCAGGATTGCACAGCACTGCGCGGTAGGCATCCAGGCCACAGCAGGCACACTCCGTGGCCAGCAGGGGGAGCACACAGTCAGCAGGAGGAAGCACCACCGTCAGCTGGGTATCCGGGTCCCCACTGCAGAGACGGGGCTGTGTGAATGGCAATGTCTCCTCGTGGCCATCAGAGGGCAGTGCAAGGGAGAAAGCTGCCTCCAGAGGCAAAGCGAGCCTATGTCTGAGGCCTCCTTAGGAAAGAAATCTCCGAGCTCAGGCCACTTTTTGGCCCATAGAGCACCAAGCCTCACCCAGCAGAGAAGCTGTGAGATGACACATCCAGAGGAGCCTGGAAACCCTTGGACAGGTAAGGCTTCTGTGAAGCCAGAACCCTGCTTGAGAAGCAGGATGGGTCCCAATAAACAGGGTATCACGTACCAGGGCCGGATGGCTCTTCTTTGGGAAGGGGAAGACCAGGAGCGAAGGAAAGGAGGCTGAGCTGCTTCTCTGTGGAGGAGGGAGGGGCGTGTTTGGAACATGGCCTGGAAATACTCACTATTCAGTCAGATGTTTCTGCCAGAGAGGTCAACCCAGCTGAGACCCACCCTGGGCCCGTGTGGCTGCAGACAGAGCACACACACGTCTGTAATTAAGTGAGAAATCCATTTCCCGCCATTGTTAGACTACCCAATACCTGAAAAGAAAGCAACGCATTTTTCTTTGTAATCATAACTTCTGGATCTGAGAAAGATGTTGGCTATCAATTCCACTCGACAGCAAAACACCGGCTCCACCTCTCCCCTGGAGTTTTGGTGCTCACTGTAGACCTCAAAAGGCATACCTGCTTGTTTTTCCTTCAATACCACAGAGGAAGGAGGTCTTATCTACAGAGGAAGCAAAGGCAGGCAGCTCCTGGAAACCCATTAAGAGAGCCCTGCATTTGGCTCTCAGATGGCCAAATACACCCCCTCACGCCGCATTGCCGTGGTAGTGGGGAGTGGAAAGATGTGATGGAATCCCAAAGCTGTTGGGAGACAGGTGCCATGGCTGGAACCCACCCACTGTCCGCCCTTCCCAAAAGCTGGCAGGGGATCCCCGTGCAGGCAGGACCCTTGAAGACCATGGAGTCAACCGCCCAGTTCATGGATGGGAAAACAGACTCCAAGAGGGGGAGCTGCCCGAGGGCTAGAAACTCAGTGGTAACCATGTACAGCAGAGTTTCAGCCAGCAGTTGGGAGCCCTGGATTCCTGGCCCAGCTGGACCTCCGATCAGCTGTGTGACCTTGGGTGGGCCACACCCTCCTCAACATGCAGGTAGTAAAAGGAGGGGGTCCAATGCCTTCTCCTCTTCATCTCAGCATTTCTCTCACATGCAGCAAGTCTCTGCTCTGGACCGGACAGGTAAGTGCAAAGATGGCAGGAAGGCCAGGTACTGAGGGTGGGGGCACACCAGTGTCCACTGCAGTGTGGCTAGCGAGGGCCTCTATGAAGTGACCTTTCAGGCGAGAGTTGAGAGAGTGAGCCAAGCAGGTATCTGCGCAAGTGCCTTCTAGGAAGAGGGTCCTGAGATGGGAACGTGCCTGGCAAATTCCAGGGACTGTGTGTGCGTGAGCTGTTCATGAAGGTACGTGTACGTGTGCACGCAGGATGTGAGTGCCTGCACATGTCTGCATGTGTGCTGTTTGTGCGAGGGTTTGTGTGTGTGTGCACGAGGGACATGTGTGCCTGTAGGCATGCGTGTGAGTGGCAAGTGTGTTGTTCGTGTAGGACTGTGTGTGCATGTGTACACGCAGGCCATGTGCATGGAGAACCTGTGGGCCGCTGTGAGGCCCAGCTCTTCCCCTGAGGTGGGAGTCATTGCAGGCACTTGAGAGGAGGGGTGACATCGTCAGACTTACCTCAAGTCCAGTGAGGGAGGTAAGTGTGGAAGGGGCTCCTGGGGGGACCTCACACCTCTGCATGGGCATGTGGCTGCTGCCCTGCTGCCACCCCCACTCATGGGTGGGTCTGGGCTCAGTGGTGCTCACCAAAGGCCTGTTCAGGAGGCAGGAGGCAGAGGGGTGCAAAGACGGGGGAGGGGCCCTGCAGTAGAGGGGGCAGGAGGCGGTGGGCTCAGCCCGGGCCCTGGACGATGTCTTGTGCCTGTAACTGTGAAAGAGCAGTCAGTCAGGAAGGAAGAGGGACTCAGTGGCGATCAGAGTCACCCTATGCCCGGGCACAGTTCAGAGCACTCTGTAAATAATGCCCCAAATAATTAAAAAGAGATTGTGCACTCCCCCTCCTCCTGCCTCTGGGAAGGGATGTTCATCTGCAAATAAATTAAAACCAAATTCAGCAATTTGCATGACTCCAGCTCTCAGGCTGGCGGATGCCGCCAGCTCCCTTCAAGATGCCTATGGACCGTGGTTATGCTAATAAGGCGCTCCTGGCACATCCCTGCTGGGGCGTCTCCTCTGCTTTATCCACACTGATGAGGTGATTGGGGGACCATGAGGTTAAAGAGGCTCCCATTCATCTTTCTGTTGGGGGGGGCTGTGTGAACTGCTCACTGGTGGGTCTTGGGGTGGCCTCCAGAAGCCCCCGTTTACGTCTGAGGATGAAAAGGCTCCGGCTGATCCACGCGGCAGAAAGAGGTGCTGGCATTGAATGGGTTGATGTGACAGGACTTCACAAAGAAATAACAAGGCCATGCAAATTCAAGGTGGAATTACATTATGCAGTCTTGAAATATAAACAGATACCAGCCTGAGCCCTGCCTCTGCGGAGCTAAGCCATCGTCTGAAGTCCCGAATTTGTGGCCCCTTGGGAGACGCATCTCTCCAGGAGAAGGGGCTGCCTCGGCGAGTACGAACAGGAGTCCTCACTCCAGGAGGGCCTGTGGGAGGCTGTGGGGTCCAGGCCTCCACAGTGGCCTCTGCCCAGGGCTAGCCAGTGGCAGTGGCTCTGGCCCAATTGCTGGCTGCCCCAGGCCAGGACATCTTGTACGTGAAAGAAGCCGGGGGACTCCTGGGACCTAGAAGGCCATGTCCTCACTGTCATGAGGACAGGTCCCACCCATCTGCAGGCTCTCTGGGCGGCGGCCTCACCATGCTGAGAACTAGGGCACCCCATATTGTCCTGGCAAAGGCCCAGGGCTCCGGCCAGCTTGCCACGAGTGACCTACACACAGAGCACTCTTTCCACAGGCTGTGACCTCCCCTATCCAGCAGCCAAAACCAATTACTGGTACCCAGTTATCAACTCTTCCTAGACAATGGACTCACAGGGGGGCACAGGAGCCCTGAGGCCTGCCTGGGAAGGGAGCTGGTCTAAGTGCTCTGAGCTGGGCCGTAGAGGCAGGTTTATCACCTTCTCACCTGCTTAAAGGGGCAGAACCCTCTAGAACTCTGTGCCCCGCCAGGGAGCTGGAATTTGATTAGATGGAGCTGCTCCCCACTACCTGCCCAGGGAGGATTATCTGGGCAAACGTTGCTTTCAAGTTCTTGTTGGCAGGTAATAGAGGGCTGTAATAGTAACAGCCATTAATTATGAAGCACCTACTATGTGAAAGGCACTAAATTTCTGTCCTATTCGTTCCATTTAAGCCGGGTGCCATTATTTGATTTTATAGACAAGGCAACTAAAAGTTGGTGAAATCAAGAAATTTGCTGAAATTCACAGTGTCGAGCAACTTGCCCACGTTGGAATATAATCCTCCCCCTCCATCGTCATTACTACAATGGGACCTCCAGGTATTCATTTCCTTGGGCTGCCAGTTACATTCCCCATCAGTGGTCCTCAACCTGGACGAGCACTGCCCACTCCAAGGGGGTATTTTCATCACTGGAAGGCCCAGGGAGTGCTCGTGGCATTTAGTGGTCAGGGCAGGAGATACAGAAAGTTCTGAATTACTTGGGAAGGTCTGTGCCCCCATCTTCACTTCGTAACCACAGTTGGCCACCCCAGCTCACACTGCCATGCTTTTGCACATGCCGTGCCCTCTGCCAAGAGGGACTTTCCCCAGCCAGCCTGACCCCCGGGCATGAACAGAGGAGGAGTTTGTACTTAGTCTCCAGGCAGCTGGGAGCTGCTGCCAATCCTGGGCCTTGGTGAGGGCAGGGGAGCACCCAGTTGACTGTGGCCGAGGTGGCTGCCTGTGGCTTGCCTGGTCAGGCCCTTCTCCTGGACATTGAGCCTGGAAAAGAGGAGCTTTCTGGAAAGCACATGGCCTTTCCCAGCTGAGTTTTGCTGAGTAGCTGTGGTGTGGGCTCCAAGTCAACAAACTGCACCAGGAAAGCCTTTCCAAGGAAAATTTCCACAAATCACTAAAGATTGCCAACTGGAAAATAAACAGAGCAACCTTCACCAAGGGCTCCCTGGGGATTCTTTGGTGTCTATGTGTGTATCTCATTGAAGCATCACAGTGCTGGGAGTAGATATGGGTAGATACATAGGACAGAAGTCCCATGATGAGGGCTTCCCCCTGGTGACCTCACCTAAATCTAAGCAGCTCCCAAAGGCCCCATCTCCTAATACCATCACATCAGGGGTTAGGGCTTTGACATGTGAATTTGGGGGGACACAAATATTCAGTCCATAACAATATGTGTGCAATGCTTCCTTACCCTCTGGCTGTCTCATTGGACTTCTCCAAGGAGCCAAAATGTGAGCAGGGCTTTGAAAGGCAAAGCAGGTCAGTGAGCTGGGCTGTGAGGTTAGGGCGATATCTCTTCCTTCTCCCCAAATCCACTTTTCCCAGTAGGTGAGACTCCTACTTTGGCTAGGGGAAACCCCTAGTTGCTCCCAGATGCCATCTCTGTCTAGATGGACAGCCTCATGCCCACATGGGCCCTGGGCAGGGCTGAGCCATGCTGTTTGGAAGCCTGAGCTAAGCCATTTGGAGGGGCCCCAGCGAGATATCCACCACCCCCCCCAGGCCCCAGCTGGTTCAGCCACCCCAGCCCAGGCTCCAGGTCTGTGAATGAAGTCTTCTTGAAGGCTCCAGCCCCAGCAGACAACTCATGGATATGGCCATTGAGCCTTCCCCAAACCACAGAAACATGAGCCAATAAATGATTGTCGTCTTAACCATTACACTTGGGGTAGTTTGTTACGCAATAATAGACAACTGAAACAAATTGCAGCTGAAAGACTTCACTCCTTGCCACCCCGGTTCCTGAGTTCAGATAGTGACCGTTCAGATCGTGAGGGACACCTAGTCAGGGCAAGACCCCATGCGCTGAGGCGGCCTTGGGTTCAGGCCCCAGCCTTGTCTCTGGTTGGCTGTGTGATGCGGTTGTTCTCGGTGTCAGAGGTGCCTTCCCCATCCTGCAGCCCGCCCGGGCAGGGCCCGTGAGCATCACTCCTGGAGCAGCCCAGGAACCATGTTCCCTGAGCCACGGCACTGCCCTTCTTCAGCAGGGTCTGTGGAAATGTGCTCGGCCTCGTGAGTAATCGGGGGACTGCAAACGAAAGCCAGGGTGCGACTCACCTTCCTGTTGATCAGATTGTCCAAATGAAGATGGATCCTAACTGCTGGCGACAGAGGAAGGACATACTGGGGGTCTCAGGTGCCGGGAGGTGAGCGATTTAGAGGGCAGTTTAGCAGCATCTATGAAATTACAACATGTCTGTTCCCCCCAGTTCAGCAACCCCACTTCTGAGTGTGTACCAGGGAAATAGCTGCACATGTTGCATGAAGAGGCATTGTCAGTGACTGTGAGCCCTGGAGACCTACCTCCTCTCCATTAGCCAGAGCAGCACGTCCTGCTCTGCACATGGGCCGCCGTCACCATATGTGGTATTTCATGCCTCAGCACGGATGACACACATAGACAGCATACATAGCACGAAAATGCAAACACGGAAAGGTATCTAAGACATATTGTTAAGAGAAAGAGCATTTGGCCCTGGCCAGTGTTGCTCAGTGGTTAGAGCCTCGGCCTGAGCACCGAAGGGTGGTGGGTTCAATTCCCGGCCAAGGGCACATACCTCGGTTTCG